CTGGGTTGAGGTTTCCACAGGAGGGGGCAGGGGCTGGAGTGAGGGCTGTGTTCTGATCTGGATATGGTTGCAATCTCCCTTGGCTCAAGTGTGAACTGGAGCTGGGCGCACCGAGCCGGGTTAGATGCCAGCACCATCTGGTGCTCTGGAGAACCTGGGTAGATGCAGGATGTACTAGGCTGGGTCTCTGCCCCTACTGAGCCATGTGTGAACAGTGTCTGGGTATGGACAAGCCTTGGCTCGGCTAAAACAGCCAACACCAAAAACAGGAATGAATGGAAGGCCAGGAATGAGGGCTGGCCCATGGAACCACCAATATGCAGAAGATCTGGCATAGGGAGAGGTTCTGATAGAGGAGCCTGGGAAACTTCTCTATCGGGACACAGTCTCTACAGGTAAGCGCAAAAGCACAATATGGAGCAACCCAGACCAGGCCAGAGGAAGACACCCACCAGCATACATATGGCATAGATAGGGGGCAGACCAGGCTGAACCTGTTCACATCAACCACGGGTGAATCTGAGATCCAGCATAGTGTGGGTCAGGCAACACAAATCAGTGCACATTATGGAATGCCATGGTGAGGTGAGCCATACCAGATGTGGTTGCAGTACCCAATCAACAAATGTGAGAACCAGGGAGGGAGGGGGCAAAGCCAGCAGGGGGAATGTGGGCTCCCCTGCTGGACAACCATCCCACTGGAGAACATGAGCTGGGATGGGGGCAGACCAGACCAGGCAGGGCTACAACACCTGTGGACCTCAGGTGACCTAGATCAGCGAAGGACCAGGTTGGGCTGACTATTCCAACTGGTACAAGCAAAAATTAGAGTGGGAGAGGGTTGGTTGGGCTTTGCCGCAGCATCAGCTGACAGAGGCTGGCACTGGGGGCTTAATCTGTCAAATTAAACTCCAGAACAACCTGGAGAGTACATAATCCGGGAGTTGGAATGGCCTGGGAGGGAGATAGTGGACTCCTCCCTCTTGGGTTCCCACTCCCACTGAAGACGAAAACCAGGACAGGGACAGGGGTGGCTAGACAGAAAGGCAACCAACAGTATGCGTGTGGGCTGGATAGTAGGGTTGGTTGGGTTGAACCAGGCTTCAATGCCCATTGACATGTATGAGAGCTAAATGGGATGTGGGACAGACTGAACAAGTCTGTGGTACATACTGGAAAGTATGGGAACCAGGGTAGGGGGCAGAACTGGTGGGGTTATGGGAAGTCGCCCCAGCTAGACTGCAGCTCCCACTGGTTTGAGTGGGGCCCGAGTATAAATTGGGCAAGATCGGGCTGGACTGCAACACCCATCAGTTCATGTGCAAGACAGGGCTGGAAACAGAACTGACCCAACAATTGCAATGACCAGCATGTGCATAAGCTGATTGTGGCGACGGACTGTGTCAGACCCTGTACTGGCAAGCACACACAAGAATCAGGTCTGGGATCACCTCAGCTCCCTGCCTGTGGCCTGGGAAAGCAGTGGAGGGCGGCCCAAAGCCTTGGGACCCTGCACCTGCACGGGAGACCTGGAATAAGCTCCTGGCTCCTGGCTTTGGATCAGCTCATCTCCAGCCACTGAGGCCACTTGGGGAGTGAATCAGCAGATAGAAGATCTTTGTCTCTTTGTCTATATATCTGCCTTTCCAATAGATAGATAGATAGATCTCAAATGGAAATAAATAAACGTCAAAATGTAGATTCTAGTCACTGTTAATATCTGACTAAGTGTGTGGTAGGTGTGTTAAGAAGTGAGGTAAGTCACTCCTGTGATACCAGCATCCCACACGGGCCATAACTGCTATCAGGCTGCTCCCTGTTAATGCACTTGGAGAGCGTTGGAGGATGGCTTAAGTCCTTGGGTCCTCTCATCCACTTTGAAGACCCAGAGGAAGCTCCTGGCTCCTACCTACAGACCAGCTCAGCTCCGGCCACTGCAGCCATGTTGAGAGTAAGCCGACAGATGGAAAATATCTTTGTGTCCCCTTTTGTCTCTGTAAAAATCTGCCTTTCAAATAAAAATAAATCTTAAAAAAAAAAAAAGACAGCAGACAAAGTAGATTGCAAGGCCAAAGCATTACCAGTACCAGCACATGCCAGTCAAATGTTCCACTTGCCTGAAATATATAACAACTGTAAATTCGTTTGTACCTAACAACATAGCCCACAATGAAAAGTACGTAGTTGAGCCTTTCTAGAGGGCAGTAGGTAAAGCAGGGAGACCACAAGTGGGCAGTTTTCATATGTACCCAGAGGGACTGGAAAAGGCCACAAGCTCTGGCAAAGCTCAAAGCCCAAAATGCAATCGCGTGAAGCCGCATCAATGTCTGCGCAAGAAGCGTGCACAGGCAGCTGTGCCTCCCTGAGGCGGAAGTGGTGCTGCGCAGTGGGACACGGCAGCGGGCAGGTGGCAATCAGAGTGAAAGAGGGAAGAATCCAGCTGTGATACCACAACCAGCCCCGTCAGTCCTCGCACTGTCACAAGCACGTAGCCTGAGCTATTAGTTGCATGTCAGTATGTTGGTCACCTCAGAACATCAAGTGGGGAAGATACTAGTAAGTTGCTCCCCATCAGAGGCTGCCCAGCTCCTTCAGTCACCAGCTCTTTTCACACCTTGGTACTGCCTAGCACTTGCCTGCCCAACATGGGAGGACCCAGAGCTTTGTGCCCACACACTACCCCACCACCATGGGAAGGCAGAAGAGTGGCAAAAAAAGGTACCGCCTGCAGCAGGTCGCGGAGTGCATCCTCTTGCTGGGGTGCACCCTCCTGCAGGGCAGTCATTTCAGGGTAGGGAATAGGAGGTCCTATTTTCAGAAATTGCCCTGAGAGCTGAAGGAACCAGTCACAGTTTAGGCACTCGCGAATGTGATTATGGCTCCCCCTGCTGACAAAATGAAGGTATATACCATCTGTCAGAGCTTGGTGGCGTGGGGCGGGGACGAGAGGAGTCCTAAAGAGGGAGGTCGCAACTGGGCAGAAATGATCTATCCATGGGCTTGGGCAGGAAGCGTGGTAATCTCTGGGCGCCGATTCTTTCTTGAAGGCTGGGTCCAGCGTGCCAGTTGAGGTATCTCAGCAGCTAGCACTCTCCTTCACCACAGCGAGTCTTAGTATAACCATGACTCCAGTAGAGGGCGCCCTCTGCATAGGCCCAGAGCATTCTCGTCACGAGACAGCCTTGGAGGCTCAGTCCACGCGGAATAAGGAAAAGCAGAACAAGCAGGTGCCATGGGCATCCCGTGTGAATGACTCAGAGGATGGACAGTAGAGCAGGCCAAATGCTGGCAACGACTTCCTGGCAGGGAGGAAGGAGGCGACAAGGCCCCAAATAAATCAGGTGGCTGCAGGTCAGGAGGAAGGCACCACTGCTGCTCTCCATCAGTCCGTAGCCTCAACACCCAGGCAGGCCTTGCTCTGGGCTTCCAAGTTCAACAAGGAAAGGAGTATTCTCCATCATTGTCCCCTATTGGGCTGTTGGGGTCTGGCTGCCGGAGGAGGAGAGAGGAGAGACCAGCTCATCTGGGGGCGTGCAGAGTAAAATGTGGCCTCTTGGGCCCGGCGCGGTGGCGCAAGTGGTTAAAGGTCCTCGCCTTGAACGCCCGGGATCCCATATGGGTGCCGGTTCTAATCCCGGCAGCCCCGCTTCCCTTCCAGCTCCCTGCCTGTGGCCTGGGAAAGCAGTGGAGGACGGCCCAAAGCCTTGGGAACCTGCACCCGCGTGGGAGACCCGGAAGAGGCTCCTGGCTTCGGATCGGCATAGTATCGGCCGTTGCGCTCACTTGGGGAGTGAATCATCGGACGGAAGATCTTCCTCTCTGTCTCTCCTCTCTGTATATCCGCCTTTCCAATGAAAAAATAATAAAAATTAAAAAAAAATGTGGCCTCTTGGTGCTCCTTTGACGGGCCACAGAGAAGCTGGGGCCAGGAACCAACTGCACACTGGCCGGGGGTGGGGGGGAGTTGCTGACTTTTCTGCCTGATAAGATACCCCTGGAAATGTTTAGTCTGACCATGAGGAAGAAAAAAAAGGAAGGACAAGAAGCGAGGGAGGACAGAAGGCATTTCCATGGAAGGGGCCTGCAGCAGTGCCCGCTCCTGCTGACTGCAGTCACACCTCCAGGGTGGCAGAGCCGCAGGCCCGGTTGCCTGTTGCCTTACACTTGGAGAGCACCAACATGAGGTGCTTGGACTATCAGGAGTGGAGGACCCAATGGCATGGGCAACACCTGGTGCCAGGGCCCCACTGGCAGGGAACTAGCTCTTTCTGCCAAGTAACCCCAGCCCTCCCCACTGTGCCATCCGCAGCGTATCTGGTCCATTGCTCTGCCACTACTTATTTCCTCAGACATCAGAGGAGTCTAGAGGAGCACAAGAAAGCACAGAACAGCCGTCCAGCACCTCCTCCACTCCCGGGCTCCCATCCCAGCATCTAGCAGCTCCCGATGACTCTCCAAGTGGTCTGCAGAGGCCTGCCCCAGAGCTCCGGGCTGGGAAAGGGAACAGAAAAGGACCCAAGGGCAGGGAGCCAGAGGGCACAGCTGGTAGTCGGCCTTCAGCATCTGCCTGGGAAAGAAACGGCGGGGGGCGGGGGGCGGGGAGGGTGGTGAAAGGGCCAGTCCTGTGCCCCCCCCCACACAGCCTTGGCTTTCACAGAGGCTGCCAGCACAGAGGAAGACTTCCAGAATCCTGCTCCATTAGGTAAGCCTGGAGCTGGTTCGCATCCATACACACCTGACCATCAGCACCCGGGGCAGTGGCCGCTCAGGAAGCCAGGGTGGCTGTGGCAAGCCATAGCATGCTGCAAGGCTTTCTCACCCTCGTGCTCTGGCCCAGCTTCTGGATCTAGCACATTGAACGCTCGCTGAGGGAAGAGAGAGGGTTCAGGTTTTGGCTAGGGGGTGTGTCTTGGATGGGGGCCTGTCTCACACGCACCTTCCAATGAGCCCGGGCGAAGTTCTTCTGGATGTGTTCACTAATTGAGCCCAAGATGTTCCGGTCAAAGGCTGCATCCCCGGAGATCCTGGGGAGGGACCCAGGTGATGTGGCCCCCAGCACCCTGCGACAGCTGGCCAGGTGCCACACTCACCAAAGTACCGCAAGACCTGTCGGCAGGCGAGCCTCACCGGTGGGTCCCGCTGCAGCAGGTGCCGGATGAAGTGTTTGGCTGTGGGCAGGGATGAGTGGGGAGTCAGGTCAGCGTGCTACAGCCCTGTGCCCACAGCAACAGCACACAGCGGCAGCCTTCAGCTTACCAGATCCGGAAATGTTGTCGCAGAAGGACAGGTAGCCGCACAGCGTAGTACCACAGAGGGGTCACCCAGCTGGCCAACCCCCCACCCCCACGCAGGGGCAGGCTGGCAGGTGACTCACAAGATATGGGCCCGGTGCCATGGCCTAGCGCCTAAAGTCCTCGCCTTGAACACGCTGGGATCCCATATGGGTTCTGGTTCTAATCCCGGCAGCCCCACTTCCCATCCAGCTCCCTGCCTGTGGCCTGGGAAAGCAGTGGTGGACGGCCCAAAGCCTTGGGGCCCTGCACCCGCGTGGGAGACCCGGAAGAGGCTCCTGGCTTCAGACCAGCACAGCACCGGCCGTTGGGGAGTGAATCATCGGATGGAAGATCTTCCTCTCTGTCTCTCCTCCTCTCTGTATATCCGACTTTGTAATAAAAATAAATAAATCTTTAAAAAAAAAACAAGATATAGGAGATAACACTGAGGGCCCACATGTCCGCGGCCTTCCAGAGGGGCTGAGGGCCAGAGACACACGTTTGTGCTTGTGCGCAAACATGTGATACAATTCACAGGTTCCCCACACACACCCACGTGACTCCTTCACTTACCCGCATATCCTGGAGTCCCGCAGGCATGTTGCCAGCCTGGATTTTGGAGAGGCCAAAGTCAGAGACTATGATCTTGGGGTCCTCAAAGGGCGTGGCATAGAGCAGGTTTTCAGGCTGCCACAGACCAGGGGGTGGGGGGGCAAGGTAAGGGTCAGATTAGTCCTGTAGCTTTGAGGTTCCCAAACCCCTGGGGAAGAGAAATGCTGGGGCAGGTCCTTTCCCTGGGCACCCAGCAAAGACACAGCAACAGGTGGCAGGACCACAGTTGGGGACCCATTGCAAGCACCTTGAGGTCACGGTGCACGATGCCCAGGCTGTGCGGGTAGGAGATGGCTCCAAGGACCTGAGCCACCAAGTGGCTGGTGTCCTGCTCTGCGTATGAGCCTCGTTCCATGATGTGGTCCATCGGGTGGCACACAAAGCAGGGGTACAGCCTCTGCCCGGTCCCTGTCCCTGCCCATCCCCAGCAGCCATCCTCACAGCTCCATGGCCAGGTAGAATGGGAAGGGCTCTAGAGCCATGATGTTGGGGTGGTTGACCCTGTCAAAGCAACCACAAGTCCTAATGCGCAGGCCCTTAGGCCACTGGCCCCATCCACTGTCCCACACGCACCTGCTGCAGCCCACAGCCCAGGCCGTTCTCTCGGGCCCCGGGCTGCTGGTTCACAGGGGCTGTTGAGCTAGAGAGCAGAGGACAGTCAACCAGATGCCCTCCCCCCAGGAGACTAAAGCAAACGGACCAGCTTCCAGGCTCCTGCCATCCCCGTGGGGTGCCTGCGTGGCCCAGGCTCGCACCTGCAGAGCACAGCGATTTCATTCTCCACCAAGGTTTCCTTGCCTCTCAGAGCCCCACTCCTGGGCCAGCACCACCTCGCGGAAGGCGCCCCTGCCACACGCATGCAGGCAAGTGCACGCACGCACAGCCAGGAAGGCGAGGAGGGCGAAGAGTGAAAACCAGAGCAAAGATGGGGAGAGGCGAGGGGCTCCCTCCCTGCCTGCCCCCAGCCCGCCTCCGGCTCCTCACGTGCGCACGCACTCACCATCCGAGCTTGTCCCGGAGCTCATAGATGCTGCTTATGTCCACAACAGGGAGAGCTGGAAGGGACCCTGGCAGGGGTCCCCCCTCCCGCCTCCCTCGTCCACGGTGCCAGGTACCCAGCTGCCCCCCATTCTTCTCCCCTTCGCTGCCTCTGCACATCCAAGCCACCACAACCAGCTGTTTTCCGGAAGGCCCCAGGAGCCATCACCCTGATCCTTCTAGGCCCACCCCTGCCCACCGCCCCCACAGGCAATCGTCACCCAGACCACCAACCCACCCAACATGCGCTTGTGACCTCCTCACTCAGCTACCTGCCACCACTATGATCGCCCACGCGGCCTCCTAGGCCCCTGTGCTTCTGAGTAGAACTCAGCAGCCTGGGCTGCTCATGTCCCAAGCTGTGTGGGGATAATGGGGCGCTTAGGGCATAAGTATGCTCGAGGGGCTGTGGCAGGTGCGGGCCGAGCTCTCTGAGCCTCTCCCAGGCACGCACGTTCCCGGCCCCAGGAGCAGCCGCTGAGCCCCCCCTCCCCCGCGCCCCGCCAGCACCCGGCGGGTCCGGCCCAATCCGCGCGCGTTCCCGTCCTGCCAGGCAGCTGAGTGCGTGGGAGTCGAGCCAGCCGTGGAGCCTTCTTCCTATGTCATTCACGCCGGGTTCCCAGAAGCTTCAGTCCCCTTGGAGGCCGGTCTGGGCCAGAGTCCTGCAGCCTGCTCACCGACACATGCGCCTGCCTACCTCCACTTCCACAGGGTGAGCACACGGGCCAGCCATCCAGGTCATCTGATGTGATACCATGTCCTTCTGTCAACGCTGCCACTTGTCTGCACCCATCAGCGCCCTCTGCCTCACCCTCATTTTCCGTTTGAGATCGTGGTACTTCAGGCCTCTGAAGCCTCCACAGCATTGCCCGGGTCATGAGGTGTTTCCCAAAGATGGATCCTGGGTCCCCAGCCCACAGAATGCAGCCCCCATCCCAGCTACTCCGCGGTGGAAAGGGCCTTCCCTCTAAGAAGGAAAGCACCAGGGACAGAGCTGGGGGAAGCGGGGTCCCTTTCGGAGGAATCCTGTATTTGTACCCACGGGGGGCGGTTACTCAGCTCAGTGTCTGCAGCACCACCCAGGGAGCCCTCAGTAGGGCCCCGGTCTACAGGCATGGGCAAAAAGAGCAATGCTCTCCATGCACACACACATTGGTGTTTCAGAGGAACATGATGTGTCAAATGCACTGTGAGCTACCCTATGAACAGAAAGATCCAACCCCGGGGTCAGGGTGAGAGAACTGTGTGGAAAACACATCGCTGGATGAAGGTGTGGGATTCGAAACATGCAAGGCGCTCTGAAAGTGCCACACGGAGAGAACAAACAACTCAATTTAAAAAACATTAGTCATTAGGGGATTATAAATTAAAGCCAGATGGGAGATACCGTGGCACACTTAGGAGCATGGCCCAAACCCAGCTCCCTGACAGCACCTACTGCTGGGAAGGCCGTGAGGCCCCAGCGCTGTCTGCGGCTGCTGCTGGCTGTGAACAACAGTGCAGTCACTTGTGCTGGCAGCTGGCAAAGAAGCTAAGCATGCTGCTAGTGCAGGGCCCCACGGGGGAGTCCTGGGTGTTTACCCAACACACATGTTGACGTAGGTGCACACACAGAGAGCAGGGCAGGGTCACTTCAAGCACTTTTCTTCACCATCAGCAAGAGCTGTGAACAAGCAGGATGTGTATCAGCAGGTCAGTGGCAGAGCCAGCAAACAAACACACCTGCACACTCAAGCTGCCGCGAGCGCCCTGCGCACTCTAAGTCAGGGCAATTGACAAAAGGGTATGGAGGTTGGGACTTCCCAGGATAGAATGGAGAATGTGACAAAAGAAGCCAGTTGTTTGCCAAACACATGCAACTACCTCCACAAGGCGTCACAGGCAGATGGGCTAATGGAAGGTCCTTTGAAAACCACGGCTACCTGCTGCAGTGCAAGCAGAAGGAACATCGCATAAGCCCTGAACTCCAACGCAGGCGCTGCAGATTAACCATCCCACATACTGCTACTGTGGAGCAGCGGGAAAACCATCACCTACAACACTGCCATCTCCTAGAGTGCACTAGTTCATGTCCTAGCAGCCCCACTTCCCACCCAGCTCCCTGCCTGTGGCCTGGGAAAGCAGTGGAGGGCGGCCCAAAGCCTTGGGACCCTGCACCCATGTGGGAGACCCGGAAGATGCTCCTGGCTCCTGGCTTCACATCAGCTCAGCTCCAACCATTACAGCCACTTGGGGAGTGAACCAGAGGACAGACCATGTCTCTGCCTCTTTCCCTCCCTCCCTCTTTCTCTGTCTGTAAATCTGCATAGCAAATCAATATAAAATCAATCTTTCTACAAAGGGAGAGAGGAAGGAAGGCACGGAGTCTTGGTGAACCTGCATACCGTTTTTTTGTTTTGTTTTGTTTTGTTTTTTTGATAGAGCCATTATGGGTTGTTTTCAATTTTTTTATTATATTTTTGACAATCTTTACATACTTAATTAGGGTAAAAAAAGGTTCAAGGGCTACAGGAAATAGGTAAGACTATTGTTTCCACATTGTTTCCTTCATGTATCTGAGGTAAAAGGGGAAACAGGGGGAGAAGCCCCACCCAGTCTCCCACCCACCCCAGGTCCCCGATGTGGGGCATGCTCTGAGGGTCTTGCTCAAGTGGTTTTGAGAGTTCAACAGTTATAAACGGCTGCCAGTCTCGCCACTCCGAGCACAATGAAGTCACTGCAGAATCCACTGATTTGACATAGTGCATCTTGGAGTCTCCGTTTGCCCAGTTTTTCACTGCCAACATATGGCTGGGATAGTTGGTTGATTTGTTCTGTCCTCTGTTGTGGTGCCAGGTGTCCTCTGCAGGTTCCGATGGACTGCTGTATCCTCCATGTGCACCTGGTTATGCTCTCTACTGCTCCATCTGAGCCGCTGAGGAGGCTCGGCTCTGGCACTTGCACTTCATGGCAGATCATGGGTTCTGAGTCTGGCAGTTTGATTGAGGAGATTACCAAAGAAAATTCGTCTGAGGTGTTCCCAGACCAGATTCTTATATGTACTAGCAAGTACAGGGCCTGGTATAGTCCACCGCTGTAATCAGCTGGTGGTTGCAATTGCCAGGTTGGTTCTGCTTCCATCCCTGTCTTCCACTGGAATCAATGGGTGCTGCAGTCCAGCCTGATTCTGCCCAACACACACTCAGCCCTCACATAAACCAGTGGGAGCTGCAGCCTAGTTGGGGCGACCCACAATAGCCCCCACCAGGCCTGCCCCCTGCCCTGGTTCCCATGCTTGCCAGTATTTGCGACAGACTAGTCTAGTCTGTCCACATCCCATTTGGCTCTCATACATGTCAATGGGTATTAAGACCTTGTTCCATCAAACCAGCTCAACTGTCCAGCCCACACACATGCTGTTGGTTGCCTTTCTGTCTAGCCACCCCAGCCCCTGTCCTAGTTTTCCTGCCCTTCCGTGGGAGTGGGAACCCAAGAGGGAGGAGCCCACTATTTCCCTTCTAGGCCACTCCCACTCCCGGATTATGCACTCTCCAGGTGGTTCTGGAATTAAACTTGACAGATATAGCCCCCAGTGCCAGCCCCTGCCAGCTGATGCTACAACTAAGCCCAACCATCCCTCATCCACTCTAAATTTTGCTTGCACCAGTAGGAACAGTCAGCCCAAGCTGGCTTTTCCCTGATCTAGTCCACATGCGGCCCACTGGTATTGTAGCCCTGCCTAGTCTGGTCTGCCCCCATCCCAGCTCACACTCTCCAGTGGGAGTAGCTGTCCAGCAAGGGAACCCCTACTCTGCCCACTCCAACCCTGTTTCTCACGTGTGCTGATTGGGCACTGTGGTCACATCCGGTACAGGCAACCTCACCTTGGCATTCCATAATGTGCATTGTTTTCTTTTGGTTTTTTTGTTTTTTTTTTTTAATTGCGACCGAACCTGGCTCGACCCACACTCTGTTCCGGTGCTTGGATTCACCAGTGGATGATGTGAACTGATTCAGCCTGGTCTGCCCCCGACCCATGCTAAATGTATGCCAGTGGGAAACTTCCCATGGCCTGTTCTGGGCTGTTTCCTATCATGCTTTTTGCACTCACCTGCCAGGTCTGTGTCCTGCCAGAAGAGTTGCCCAGGCTCCTCCATCAGAACCTTTCCCAGTGCCAGATTTCGGGCATACCAGTGGGTCCATGAGTCAGCACTACTCAGTTCACTTCCTGTCCTAGCAGGAACAGTGGCTTTTCCTGACTGGCCTTCAACCCAATCTGGTTCTTGCTGTTGGATGTTTCAACCCAGCTATGGCTCATCTATACCCACACACAGCTCACACATGGCTCAGTAGGGGTTGAGACCTAGCCTAATCTGTCCCACATCTACCCTGGTCCTCAGGACACCAGATGGTGTTGAGGTCTGGCCCAGCTTGGTGCATCCAGTCCCCGTCCACATTTGTGCTAAGTGAGACTACAACCATATCCTAATCAGAACGCAGCCTCCATTCCAGCCCCATGCTCCTTGGTGGGAATCTCAACCCAGCTAGGGCATCCCCTTAGCTCCCCAACCGGGCCTGTTCCAACCCATAGATTACATGCATGCCAGTGGTGGCTCTGACTCAGCTTGGCACAGCCCCACACCCATCCCAACCCCTGCCTTAGACACTGTGGCTTAGCGTCCCTGGCTCACGCAGACCAGTAGGTGTAAGAGCCTAACTCGGCATGACCTGTGCTCCATCCTGATTTCTAGTTTCACTTGTGAGCTAAGGTTTGCTCAGTGCTGCCCGATACACCCTGTTCCATTACCATTTCACACATTGGCCAGCCATTGGGGCTACTTTGTCCAGCTTGTCTGCCCCCAGGTCTGGACCACATGTTCAGCAGCTGGAGTTATGACTCACCAGGGGAGTTTCCCAAGTTCTTCCACTTGATCCCCTCCCAGACCCAGTTCTCATACATGCCATTGGGTTTTAGGCCAGTGTCCAGCGTAGTCTGGCCTTCCATTTAGCCTTATATGAGCTGGTCATGAACATTGCAGCCCAGCCCACTCCACACCCTATTCAGGATGCACATTCAGGTGCTGCTGCCTTGACCAGTCCAGACTATTGTGGATTACCTGTGAGTGATGGCAG